AGAGCTAAGAAAGATTGTCGTACCAGACATCCCTACCGCGAAATTGTATGCAGAAGTAAAAAGACTCCTGGAGGACCACTACAGCCCGCGATACTCCGTAATTGCCGAGAGGTGTCAGTTTAATCGCCGACATCAACGTGACGGACAAAGCTTGCAAGAATTCATTACAGAACTTAAGCACTTGCCGAGGAACTGTTCTTTCGGAACTTTCTTAAAGGACGCTTTACGCGATAGGCTGGTGGCCGGACTACGTGATGAAGAGACCCAAAGGATTTTGTTCGCAACTGCGCCACTGTCGTTCGAAGAGGCTTGCAAAATCGCTTTAGAGAAAGAACTAGCCGCAAAGCAGACAAAGCAAATGCACGCGCCTGACGAGTCGCGGGTACCATAAATGCCGTTAACAAGAGAAAATCAGGCAAGCCAACGAAGGAGCACCAAGTTAAACAAGAAAACGCTTCGGGAAAAGCGAGTACATGCTATCGCTGCTGAAAGGCGCGTCATGAGCCTGATAACTGCTGGTACCGCACGTATAAATATAAGGCTTGTTCTAAGACTGGACACTTACAAGTAATGTGTCGAACTAAACATTGGAGTCACCGGGTTAAAGCAGTAGAAATTACTGACAGCGAATCTGATGACATAGAAAGCCACGTGGTGTTCTTCGCGAAAGAAAAGATACCCGGTTACAGCGTCAGCGTTTCTGTTGAAGGAACAGCGGTGGAAATGATTTTGGACACCGATGCAGCAGTAACCCTGATGCCTCAGAGTTTGTTTAAAGAAAAGTTTTCCCACGTCCATTGCGACCAAACTAATGTGTCGCTGAAAACTTATACTGGAGAGAAGGTGCCAGTAGTTGGCAAGGCGAATGTAAAACTTGACTACGAGGGACAAATCCTAACTCTACCGCTTTTTGCTGTGCAGAACGATGATAAGAAAATGCAAGTGTTGATGGGTAGGAGTTGGCTCGAGCACCTTAAAATTAACTGGAATGCAGTGTGCCTTGTCACGGCACCCGACAAGGTAGCTGCGTTGCGGAAGAAGTTCCCTGAGCCCTTCAGGGATTCGCCGGGCATTGTCAAAAATTATGAAGCCCACATAGCGGTTAAGGAAAACAGTCAGCCGGTTTTCTGCAAAGCGAGACCTATTCCGTTTGCTCTTAAGGACGAGGTAGCAAAAGAGCTGAACAGGCTCGAAGAGCGTGGAATATTGAAGCACGTCACTAAAAGCGACTGGGCTACACCCTTGGTGGTTGTGCCGAAGAAAGCAGGAGGGGGCATTAGACTTTGTGGTGACTATAAAGTAACGGTGAACCCCGTGCTCAAGATGGATCTTTACCCACTGCCGCGGCCCGAAGACTTGTTTGCGACACTGGCTGGGGGAAAAGTCTTTTGTGTGCTGGACCTTTCGTCTGCGTATCAGCAGGTGCCCCTGAGCGAGGAATCCAAACGCCTGCTGACGGTCAACACTCACCTAGGGCTCTTTGAGTATCAGTGTTTGCCTTCCGGAATCGCCAGCGCACCAGCGATTTTTCAGTCTTTGATGGACCAGGTCTTCCGGGGCATCCCGGGAGTCGGATGCTATATTGACGATGTTACCGTTACAGGAACCGACATGAAAACTTGCCAAGCTACCGTGGAGAAAGTGCTGCAACGCTTACAGAAGTATAACATTACCCTGAATGAAGACAAATGCAGGTTCTTCGAGGACTCCGTGGTTTACCTCGGACACAAGGTTTCGGCAGAAGGGATGTGCCCAACCGACACCAAGGTAAAGGTTATCATTTCTGCCCCAGAGCCGACAAATGTTACAGAGCTAAGAGCCTACTTGGGGTTGTTGACCTTTTACGGGAAATTTCTCCAGAACTTTGCAACGGCAGCTGCACCCTTGTACGAGCTCCTCAAAAAAGACCGTCATTGGAAATTGACAAAGGCATGTGCAAAAGCCTTTGAAACAACGAAGCAGCTTCTTTTGAACAGTCGGGTATTGACGTACTACGACATCAATAGACCGATAGGAGTGAGTTCTGATGCGTCAGCGTACGGTCTGGGGGCCGTTATCTTTCACATTTTGCCAGATGAAAGCGAGCAACCCATAGCTTTTGCTTCGCGCACGTTGAGCACGGCCGAGCGAAACTGTGCGCAAGGAGAGAAAGAAACTCTTGCCATAATTTTCGCATTGCGACGGTTTCACAGATACCTGTATGGCAGGAAGTTCTGCTTGTTCACGGACCATCAACCGCTTCTTGTAATCTTGGCTCTAGACAAGCCTATCCCGTCACTAGCGGCTGCTAGGATGCAGCGTTGGGCACTCACGCTATCTGCTTATCAGTATAGCTTAAAGTATCGCAAAGGCTAAAACATGGAAGTGGCCGACGCTTTATCGCGCCTCCTGCTCCCTGTTCCAACTGCGGAAGAACAGGAAGAATGCTTTGCTTTATTTGCGGCTACGCCGTTAACTGCGAAAGAGGTGGCACTTGCTACACAGCGCGACCGCGTTTTATCAGCGGTTGCTGACTTTACTTTAAACGGCTGGCCATCGTCCGTCTCCGAGGAGCTGAGGCCTTTCTACGTCCGCCGCAACGAACTTTCCCTGGAACAGGGCTGTCTGTCATGGGGCCAGCGGGTTATCGTCCCTTTAACCCTCCAAAGCAAGTATTGACACTCTTGCATGAAGAACATCCCGGAATGACGCGGATGAAGATGCTTGCTAGGTCGTTCGTTTGGTGGCCAACTTTGGACGGCGACATTGAAACAAGAGTTCGTCACTGTAAGGTATGCTAAAGTGTTCTGCCAGCAAAACCTCCAGGATTCCTGCAGCCCTGGGCGTATCCAAGTCGCGTATGGCAACAAGAGTTCGTCACTGTAAGGTATGCCAATGTGTTCTGCCAGCAAAACCTCCAGGATTCCTGCAGCCCTGGGCGTATCCAAGTCGCGTATGGCAACGGATACACATCGACTACGCAACGAAGGAGGGCTTGAACTTTCTTGTGTTGGTGGATGCTTTTTCAAAGTGGATTGAAGTGTTTGTAGTGTCAAGCACGACCACTGAAAAAACTGTGCGGTGCCTCAGCTCTGTTTTTGGAGCCTACGGTTACCCAGAAGAGTTGGTGAGCGACAACGGCCCACAATTCACCGCCGAGGACTTTGGGGTCTACCTGCAGCGGCATGGCAAAAAACATACCCGGATACCACCGTATCACGCAGCCTCGAATGCAGCCGCTGAGCGCCTGGTACAAACTACGAAGACTACCCTGTTGAAACAAGTAAGACATGATCAAAACACCGGGGGGAAAAGGACTATTCTGGAACGAGTAAACGATTTTTTGTTGGCGTACAGGAATACACCAAACTCGGTTACTAGGAAGACGCCAGCAGAACTGTTTTTGAAGCGTCAACCTCGTACACTGTTTTCACTGATACGACCAGCCAGCCAGCCAGTCGGTCAGCTACCCAGGGCGGAATCTCCTGCTCCGAGGTTCCACGCCGCTGAGCTCCCGAGTCAAGGCACCGGCTCGGTTCCACACCCAGAGCAGCCCCTCGAGGTACCTGAGCCCGATGATCGACAGCACGCTCAACACAACGCTTCTGCCTCCGAGCCTCCTGCAGCTGCTCAGCAAGATCAAGGCGACGGATCTGCCTCTGCGCCTTCCACAGCAACAACGCTTCGAAGAGGAAGCCGGACCCGGAAAGCACCGGACCGCTACCAATCGTACGAGTTTCGTCGTCAAGCCAAGTAAACTCGACCGTAATGACATGTATGGCGGTTTTAAAGGCGGAAGGAATGTTATATCTGTAAAGGTTGCATGTGATTCGCCCAACGTTATTACGTCACTCTTGCTTACGTCTATAAAACAGACTGTCTGGCCGTAATAAAAGTTCAGTACGTTCCAGCTACCCGGAGAGCCTGTCTGCCTGCGATGCTGCGATAGAACAAACATAACAAAATTGCGCCTTACCTCGCACAGTGCCAGTCCTTCGTTAGGTTTCTTGTCTCTTTAATCGGCCAAATCGCATTTTGCGCCGTGTCCTCTATCTAGGCACTTTAGAAACGTAGAACATATTTTGTACTGTTACTAGACCTGTCAGCACATCAGCCGGTCACCACATTTTACATTCACCGCATGGTGCCCTAAAAAGACACACACAAAAAAAACAACATTACTGCCACTGAAGAAACTCCTACGCGGATGAAGGTTTGGAAACTACTCCCACCACTTTCCACTTCAGCAGAGTTAACACTAAAAGGGATTCGCCTCCTGTCCAGCGTTCGCTCCGCTAAAGTGAACCTAGGATGGAGGAGCTTCCCCTGAATTATTAACCTGTCACAAACTATAGATTAGCTCAGCTGCCCATATACACTGTTTCCGCAAGCAGCACCCTCCTCTCTCCCTCTCCCCCCCCCCCCCCCCCCCCCGGACCGCTTTCCGTCGATTGACGCCTCACTATTTTGGAAACGGCTACTACGCTAAGTGCAGTGTATCCTATAGAATACATGTCTTGAAGAATAGCGTCAAGATGGCGTTTCACCGCACTGTATGAATACACAGAAAAACCCTCCGGGCGAGGTTCACATTTGAGCTTATCTATTAACGTTGGCCATCGGGTCGAATGAATAAAAAAATCGCGGTTTGTTTAGGCGCCTGTAGAACCACTCGGAAGAAATAAGAAACGCCGTTTCTGTCGTGTTACTAGGTGACTTTTTGTTCGATCAAAACGTTTATTATCGTCACGTGATGTGCGCTGCTTGAAAAGCGGCGAGGTCACAGACTGGCCGAACTCTCTCCTTTTCTATGACTCAGCGCGTATATTCAATAGTGCGAAACTTTCTGTCTTACAGTCGTCTCTAACCTTAAGGTTTCCTATAAACCCTAGCTCATGGTTTTTTTTAAGGAACTTATATAAAATAAATAAACGAAAACGTGATTTGTGTGTTCTTTCCCCAAGCACTCGACATATAATTAAAAAAATGTAGATACGACAAAGCTGTTGTTTCCATTACAGATAGAAAGGTATGAGATGGCACCCTCTCCAGATTACAGTAATAACGACACGTTTCAAGCGTATAAAAAGCTCATAACACAAACCATTATATTGTTTTCGGGAATCACCGAAAATGAAGCAACCAAGATTTCTCAAGATATACTCGACTTCGAGATAAACTTAACAAAGGTAACGTTACTTTTTAATATCTATATGGGAGTCGCGCTACTATCACCGAACGGTTATAGACATCTTATATATTAAAATGTAAATGATTCATCTGAAACGTATTGTCGTATTTGAATTTGAATTAAATTGGGAAACTATGCTTCTGTGTTCATTTAACTGTAAGCAAAAAGCCGAATTCTACGTAGGTGAAACCAAATGGATCACTCCAATATCAATGAGGTGATATATTGCTCAGAGAGAAAAAAATATTTTGATAGGTCAAATAAAATATTGAAGGCACACTTTACTTTGTGTTCTCCAACACTACTGAAGATAGTCAGTGAAACAAGTTAAGTTGGCGAGAAATGGAGGTAAAATACAGACGCTAAACTGATGCGATATACTGGTAATAATTCCAAATAGTTCACCCCATTTTGGCTGCAGTGCACTGCTGTGCAGTTGAGCTTCCTTTATTTACTCAATGACTATGTTGTATTGAGCTTACACTATTTTTATTTTAAAACATTGAGGAAAGTTATATTCACTCATGCCGTTCGAGGGGACTGAATACCAAGACGGTAAGATGGCTTTAGCAGTGAATCCTGACATTATTCATAATGCCTGACAGTTTAAGTGCCAGCATTTATAAATGTATTTTTAGTAACGTTATTAACATAAGGAATAGCTTAATCCTAGAAGCAACGAAACGGTCATAGGATTATTTACAAAAGCTGCCGTACCAACAAGAGAAGAAGGTTTTTGTTATTTTTTGTTGCAATGGAAGACGGTTAATTTAGAGTTCTATACCGTTTCCAACATGCTCTACTAAAAAAAAGGGTCGATGTACACCTAAGCTTTTCTTGTAAGTTGTGAATGCGAAAGCAGGAATGTCGTTCTTGCGCGCGTCCTCGTGAAGTGGACGCGCCGCGCTGACATCGACCGGCCGCCGCCTTGGAGTGTGGCCGAGCGCGCTGGTCAATTCCTTTTACCGGCACGCTGGTGGTGCGGGCACGCAGCGCAATGGGGTGGCGCTTCTTGAAACTGACGCGCAGTGGCCCCATCCCTCAGATTTCGGATTTTTTTTTTTTTCGTTTTGCGTGGCTTTCTGCGCGGCTTCAGAGCTGGGAGGCTTCAGGTCGCGGCTTCATTTCGCTGCAGTTTTGCGTGGCTTTTTGCGCGGCTACAAAGCTGGGAGGCTCCAGGTCGCGGCTTCATTTCGCTGGAGTTTTGCGTGGCTTTTTGAGCGGCTTCAAAGCTGGGAGGCTTCAAATCGCGGCTTCATTTCGCTCCATTGGGAGAGAGGAATTTAGCTGCCGTTTGGAGCCGCTTTTGGCGCGGTTTCAAAGCTGATGACGTCGGCCCGCTCCCTAGAACAGTTGATGCTCTAGCATTCAAAAACATAACGAATAAGTGTGGGGTAGAAGTGCCTTGGATTTATAAAACTATGAAACTCCTGACCAGAGTGGCGTACATCTTTGCAAAATCTTCAAACGTTCGATGCTCCAATTTAGGAGTAATTCGCCGCGCCTTCTTATTGTACGATATGAGGGCTACTTGATGACATTTTGTTAGAAAACAAATATCTAACCTAGAATAAAATTAATAGTTGAGAGGCAATATAGTTTAAAGATGAAAAGTGACATGATGCTCGTATAAACAATATTCTAGCATACTCTTTTCGGTAACCGGACAAAAGCCCACCGGACAGAAGCTTAATGAACAAAAGCTTAGAGGAGAAAAGCTAACCTGCTTTTCACCGACCAGGGCAAAAGCTCACCTCTTTTTTTTTTTTTGGCTACCCGAGCGAAACACGGGCTGGGTTAATGTGCGGACGCGATGGACATCGCACTATTTTAAGGCTGCTGCTTGTGCCACCTTTGCCAAAGCGCACAAAGAAAGGTAAACGAAAAGAGACCATTCTATCATTGTAAAATGGAACGTGTTGTTAATAAAAATTTAGTGCCCGCACCTATCATAGATTTATACTGAAGTAACGGTTCGTCTTGTCACTTCATCTGACTGGAATGTTGTTGGGCCTCCGGAAATAACTTGCTAATACATAGCTAAACGAGCACATAAAGGTTATGCACAATGTATATTCATTACTAAAGCATGGGTTTTCTTGGGCTTCACAGTAATACAAAGTGAATGGCTAAGAGAATAAAATTGTTTCCGTCATTCTGAGTCGAAAATGTATTTGAAATTAAGGATTCTCTCCGGGTGACGTCAAAAGAAAACTGAACCAAAACGGTGTAAACAAACCATTAATTGAGTTTCGAATTAAAAGAAATGTTTTGCAGGTACGAGCGCTTGGCCTTATGGCCAAGTGCAAGACTGGCGACTAATTTAAAAAGCTGTGCGGCATTGTGGAACGGCTGGCGTTCTTTCCACCACAGCGTGTGCCCGAAGGACTAGCCTACACAAAGAAAAGGCCTACCGGTGACAACGGCGACCTGTTGGACTACTTTAATTGCACATATGTCAACGGCCCCTTCCGTGTCACTTATGCTCCTTCTGCTATGGCACCCAGAGCAAATTCTTCGCTTCACCTGACTTTGCTTCTATGACGACCGGAGTCACCACCGGAAACGTAGAATATTTCTGCATACTCTGCATGATGAAGGCTATACGAACAACGCATCCGAAGGATGGAATAACGGGTACCAGAAGCCTGTCGGCCACGCCCATCCAAGCCTCTGGAGGCTGACTGAATGACATTAAGGAGATCACGCGCACGCTGCCATGACATAGACACAAGCCCGGAGAGTTGAGCCCCCTGTAAAGCTGGTGCGAAAAACCACTCTGTGCCTGCAGAACAGTTTGAAAATTATTTCCAAGGGATTCCTGCAGGTACTCCTAGATGTACAAAGACTACTGGAGACTGTAGGGGACTGTATTCACTCTAACAGATTAGTTTGTTTCCACTGTAATCAACTAACCAGGTGCCTACCAGTTTTGATTTATCGCTGTATTTTAGCGTCCCATGCTTGCACCTAATTTGTGCGCGCTCGTGTTAACACCAACATGAAATTTTCTCCTGGTGAGCTTTTTTCCGGGTATGTGAAGTTTGTGTGATCCTTTGTCCTGGAATCACGTTTTAGAGCGCAGCTCTTAGGCGCCCGTTTCCAGCTTGAGCGGCGTCGCCGTCACCGTCGCCGTCGCTGTCGGCGTAACCGCGCGGTGCATTATGGGAAACGTCCCATAATGCACCGCGGAGACGTTTCGGCACCGAGGTGCATTACGGTGCCGAAATGTCACCATGCCGAAATGTCGCCGCGGAGCATTATGAGACGTTTCCCATAATGCAGCGCGAGGACGTTTCGACACGGTGCCGGAACGTTTTTATGCCGAAACGCCGCCGCGCTGCATTATCGGACGTTTCCCATAATGCACCGCGCGGACATTTCTGCACCACGCCGAAACGCCGTGTGACGACGTGCCTTTCGAGCGTGAAAGAAGGAGGAGGGAGGAGGAGAGGGTACGAATGAGGAGGAGGGGCATACCCTCCCGTCAGTACCCTACCCTCCTCCTCCTCAAGAGCTGCGCTCTAAATCGGAGTCACAGGAAGTTGTAAACGTCTTTCATTTCGTATTTCAGTTTGCTTTTTACCGACTTTTTTTGGAGAACGCTGAAACGGTAACATAAATTGTAAAATGTTCTCAGTGACCTTTATCTTCAAAGTTTTATGATGCACGGAATGCCATACTTGACTATCATTTAAATATTTTTGAAGACATTAAACCTGATTTTTGAACGGTCGGGTTTTCGTAGCGAACCCTAGCCACATGTATTTGTCCATAACAACGACCCTAGCAACGGTTTCTTTGGACCCATGACGTCACACTTACGGAGTCAATTGATAATAAATGGAAATGATCCTTGCGCAAAGCATTTTTGATATTCTTGTGAAAAACATCCGCCCAACACTTCACTTCCGCTAGTTGCAGTACGGGAGCAGACGCCTTCACTTTTGGGGTGTTTTGATGCAGTTTGTTGTCGTATGTCGTGTCGGTGTTGAGTGGAGCGGTGGCGCTCGGGAGTTTGTGACCGGTGTTATTCGTGATCACTGGTGTAAGGCTAATGCGTTTTTTTTTTATATCGTTATTTTTCCGAATTTTGAAAATTCACGGGCCCGTGGCACTGCATTATGCTGAATCGCGAACTCCTTCCCTGTTGACGTCGTTTTCCTGGTGCCACTCGTGGATACTGCAAGCGTTTAAACAGTGTGCACCGTCTCGCCTACATCCCCGGTGACGTACTCGACGTGTTGAAACTTATTGCTTCCGTCATTTTGGAGTACGAAAGGCAGTTATCTCACTGCTCTGGTTTCGGTTATAAAAGCAAGGCAAAACGCTCGTAGTTCCCGCCCTCAGTACACGTTGGATATCTTCCACACTTTGACACCGGACAACTGGATGAACGAGGATTTATATTTACCTAAGATGTCAGTCTCGCCGCTTCCTCACCGTTGACCAGCAGGATCAGCTGGCGACAAGCCGCGGATTAAAGGCTTGAGCATCAACAGCCCCAGTGCACTCGCTGCCGATGCGGGCGATGCGGGTTTCTGTCAGCCGGTAGGCCACCACAAACCATGACCGTTCCAGCTCTTCGTCGTGACACGGTGTTGCAGAGAGCAGGGCAAAATAGAACTACACGGACCACCGAACCAAACGCAGTTATCGTAAATCTTGCCTTGTGATTGCGCCTTTGTAGATCATCTTATTCGTTTTGCTGGAGACACGCAAACGACGGGCATAACAAAATCGTTTGCATATTTCGCATATTTTGCAAAAGAATTTACCCAGTCACCTTGCGAAAAGCGCAAAACACGGAGTCCGCACCGTCTTGACTTCCCCTGTCTTCTACCTGCTTTAGAGCAGTTTGTACCTGCTAGTAGGAATACCTACTGAAACTGAAACTAGGGGCAGTGCTAGAGAGAAAAGGGACGAAGTTGGGAAAGCTTGCTCGCTCTCCCCAATTTCTCAACTCTCAAGTGACTGTTCTGTAATAAATGCACCAACGCCTCTTTCCAAAATAAAAAAAAGCACTATGTTCACTACGTAAAAAATGGTCTCAGTTCATGCATCTGTGGGCAGGTAGGAAATCTTGCCCTAATTTATTCACACCGCATGATGAGCGCAACAAACTCGCACGAGATATACAGGAAAATATTGGTGGTGACTTAATTTTCGCTGAAAATCTGTATAACCGATCTTTTGAAGGACCGAATCATCTGCTCGAGCGGTGTGCGTTACTGTGCAAACACGTGGCTGTGCAAACACGTCGCTGTGCAAACGCAGTCCAACACGAAACATAAAAACGGCAGATCTAGGACAACAATCCGGAGTCCATTGCTCAATTTAAAGACGTAATTTTGTTGAAAACGCCCGCAGCTTTTTACTCGGAGTATGCATCGGGATACTTCCACATTTTGAAGCGGAACGAAGGAAACTTTACTTTTAAAGACGCTTGCTGCGTCCTCCCGGAGCAGCTGGACCGGATCAGCTGACGACGACGGGACTGAACCCGCAGAATTTCGACCTCACAACAACCAATTCGCGCTCCGTGTTAGTCTGGCTTTCTACCTCCAAGCACCGCACCACACACCACGAACGTTTCAGCTCTTTGTCGCATCGCCGTGTTGCACCAAACAGAACGAGATCGCCGAAGTCAACCCAGCGCTGTCGGGAACCTTAGCTTGTGGTTGCGATCTCGTGAATCCTGTGACTCCCTTCGCTTTCCAAGCACACACGACGATTACGAATGATACTTCTTCCGGTGACATCACAGGGGCACTTCTCCGGTCACGTCTTCGCTACATGTGCTCGCAAACCGAGCAGCTTCTCCCCTTGCCGTCCAACCAAAACAATACCGGCGCCATGTGAAACGTGCGTTTTTGTTAGATTTTCTCCGATTAAATAAAAACAACGAAAGCAAACCGGCTCTAGCTTCCAGCGTACATCGGCGTTGCGCCGTGGCCAGATTTTCGCTGTCAGCTCTACTTTAAAGATGACCACAGATGCAGCAACACTGGCCACAGCGGTGCCCCGTAAATTCTGAGGGTGCATGGGAAGCGGCGGCACCTTCGCTTGCAGTTGAAGGGTTGAAGCCAAAACGAAACCAACTGCAATGTCACGTGTTCAGATCGAGGGCACGCTTTTTATATCCATTGTAACTGTTTAGAACGAGTAATTAGACGTCTAAATTTATTTGTGGTGTGTAAGACACAATTATCAAGACCCCTAAAATAAATACAAACATGGCGACATGAGGGAAGCCGCATTGCCATCGACCTTAATCAATGGCAGCAATGGCAGCAATGGCAGCAAGCGCGTTTTCGCCCCGTCCCGCGACATGGTGTAATTGCTTTTGGTGGATATCTGTCTCCGAGACATGTTTCTTTCCGCGAATTTTTCTCCACGGTCCTTTCTAGGTTTGTCCTTAAGCATTCCGGCGCTTCGATTGCCGGCAATGCTGCGATCGCCGCCGGCGGTGATGCCTGTTTTCGAGGTCGGCTACACGGTTGTGCGTGTATGACCGAACCAAAACACGTTTTTTTCAACCTCGCATTATTTTTGAACGAATTATCCGTTACACAACGTGTAAATTTATGGTAATTAGTGTAAATAGCGTGCTTTTTACTCCAAATATTTACCAAGTACATGGGACTTGCTAACAGTGTGCCTCGCACAGATAAGGGGAATGCATCTAAACCGCGATGTTTTTTTGTTTTTTTTGTTGTTGTTTTCGGCAGATATAAATTTGGTAAACGTGTTTTTTTTATTTATCTAAGACCAAAACGACACTCTTGCCGTAAAAAGGAGCTCTTTAGCGACTGCTTAAATGGTATATACTTCGAACCATTTTTTTTCGGAAACTTTACAACTGGAATAATGCCGCCGGGAGAAACTGATCAAGCGAACGTACCACTCAATGGTACGAGTACAACGGCGAAATGCGCCATTTTCTCCTTGTGAAATGTTCCCAAAACGTGCGTCTCGCACAATTTACGATATATCAAGCCTGTGAAAATTATTTTTCCCCGAGGATGTGCTCATCCATCTGTTTCAACTAGGCAAAATATAAGACCATTTGATTTTCGCAGAGTAAGATGTATACGCTTCTAAAGTATTTGATGAATCTTGGCACATGGAATATTTCCCTCTCAATTCTGAGTAAGTAAAGCCTACTCAAAGCACATGGTTTCGTGCCGTTTACACCACGCAATTGATCTCTTTGTTAAGAACTGCCGAAATAGAGCATAGCTCTTGAGGAGGAGGAGGAGGGGAGAGTACGGGGGGAGGTTATCCCCTTCCTCCTCCTCCGTACTCCTCCTCCTCCTTCGCCTCCTCCACTTCCATCCCCTCCTCCCGGCTCCTCCGCTAAATTTAGCGGCTCCGCTAAATTTAGCGGGGAAAAGGACGTCACATGACTTTAAGTCACGTCACCTATGAACAAATTCGCAAAGTCACGTGACCTCAACACCATACAAGCTCCCCGCTAAATTGAGTGGGAAATTGAATAGGTGTTGAGGTCATGTGACGCCAATTTTGCCGCTAAATTTAGCGCGGTTACGCCGAAGTCGAAGGCGACGCCGGCGACGCTCAACCCGGAAACGGGCGGCTAAGAGCTCCGCTGTAAAACTAAGCCGTGTTGCATGTGTCTCGGCTGCTCGGTCAAAAACAAGGTAGGGCCCGCCACGTCGAGTCTCCGTACATAGGGGCAGGCGAGATTGTTCAGTTTACACTACTTCCCGGGTTGGCGGCAGTAGTCCAAAGAACGCTCCGGGCGATTCCGGGGACGCGCGCGGCTGAGCAGCAGCGGAGAGATAATGAATGATCAGCGGAGAAATACCACGGAAACAAACCAGCCATTGCCATTGCTGTCATGGACCGGTAGGGCTGCGGTGGTCGCCCGAGGTACTGGGCCCGCCTCGCCTTTTGCGGCGCATCTGGCGGGCCAATCTTCTACAGGTTTCAGGTCGAGGAGCCGTGCATGTGGTTATTATTGGATACAAATGCTAATACTACCTGTGTCCTTTTTAGAGCGCAGCTCTTAGGGGCCCGTTTCCGGCTTGAGCGGCCTCGCCGTCGTCGTCGGCGTCGGCGTCGCCGTCGGCGTAACCGCGCGGTGCATTATGGGTAAATTTCCCCGCTAAATCTAGCGAAAAAATTTCCCCGCTAGATTTAGCGGAAAAATTTCTCCGCTAAATCTAGCGTAAAAATTTTCCCCGCTAGATGCAGCGGAAAAAATTCCCCGCTAAATCTAGCGGAAAATATTCCCCGCTAAATGTAGCGGAAAAATTTCCCCGCCAAATCTAGCGGGAAAATTTTCCCCGCTGGATTTAGCGGAAAAATTTTCCCGCTAAATCTAGCGGAAAAATTTCTCCGCTAAATCTAGGGGAAATAGCGGGAAAAATGCCCCGCTAAATCTAGCGGAAAAATTTCCCCGCTAAATCTAGCGGAAAAAATTCCGCGCTAGATCTTGCGGAAAAATTTCCCCGCTAGATTTAGCGGGAAAAATTCCCCGCTAAGTCTAGCGGAAAAATTTTCCCGTTAATCCTAGCGGAAAAATTTCCCCGCTAAATCTAGGGGAAAAATTTTTCTGGGGGGTCACGTGACCCCCCAAGGTCACATCACCCCCCCCCCCCCCCCGCCCCGAAAACAGGTAACCCTCAGTGCCCTTCCCTCCTCCTCCTCAAGAGCTGCACTCCAATTCGGTGTTACAGGGAGTTTAAACGGCTTTCATTTTTTGTCTGACCTTTGATAATAATGTTTGTGTCTTTCTTGCCAGAAACTCGATGGCCTATCGCCTCCTCCTGATCTAATTGACATTGATATATACTCCGAAAACGCAACTTATGACTATGATTATAGCGACTATGAAGTCTCATCAAGTGGCTCGGCTCTTGACGTAGTAAGTAGGCCAAATCCGAAATTCAAGCTACGTCAATATATACGACAATCATTTATGTGGCTTACAGTTTCTACGCCATAAATACATTTCCATTAAAGTTTTATGAACTATATGTACTACTAATTAAGAAACAAAATTTCAAAAGTGCGAGTGCTTGCATCGGTTCACTTCAAGTCCGATCGCAGCTATCGAATGAAGCCAGTCTAGCAGCTGCATCGGCGCAGCGATACTTGTGTTCGTGGGTTTGCTACCATGCACCGACTGAACGAATAACGCGCAATAAATGCACCGCGATCCTCTTCTTTTTTGTGGGTTATTGGCTTAGTGGGTCACACACGAGCACCTTGGCGACACCCTTCTGGCGCTGCTTCATTGACCACGCTTAGGGTCCCAGGTCCGGCCGCGCTCGTACTTGCGAGTGAAACGGAGTGGTATTTCGTAGGCCAGTTACGGAGCGTCTTGTCTCGCCAATACGTTGAAAGTGGGTCGAAAAGCATACTGCATGAGCGGCATGTACCGACACCACCTACGATACAAGGCATGGAGAAGTGCGGTCCGCACCTCCCCCGGCTTCATGTCCCATTCTGAACGATGTTCCAGAGGCTCTAATCTGGACACTTTGCGAAAAATGATACGCGAGTGTCGCTGTCGTTACGGCGTCGCAACTTCTGGCTGCCGTAGCTTCTGTGGACTGTCACACTGGAGAGTGGCCTGAGGCAGAACAATAGCCTGCCACATACACCACAACTGTTGGGACGCCGCCAGGATACCGATAGGCGAAAGCATGACACCTGTGTGACGTCATCAGGCAGAAATCGAGGGGCCACTTTTTTTGGTCGCGGTAAACACACCAGTCGGAGACGCGATCCAGGCACCATAGTGCTACCCCGTCGGTTGTTTCTACTACCCTCAGAAATCTGCACTACCCATCGGTTGTCTATATATAATTTATTTTGATTTGATTTGGTTTCAAATGGAATCGAAACAAACCTATAGCATCAAACATAAAGTAGGTAAAACAGCCCAGAACGACAAAGACTGGAAGGAAGGTACAACCAAGACGGGGCAGGTGCTGACTCGCAACTAGCGAATTTATTACAAAAAAAAACATAAAAAAGTAAACATATAAGGCAGCAATTTACACTCTTGCTAACCCTTTTGCCTCATCACATAGGGCCCCGGTCATCCAGGTGCCGCGTGCTCCACGCCCCCCCCCCCCTCTTCCCCCTTTTTTTCGTGATCGACGAAGTTAAAAGCAACAGCACTTTCACAGAAAGCGTCAACGACGGCTCGCCGACGCACTAAGCCCCGCTTTCCGCCATGTAAAAGGCCTCCATGACCTCCCTCGTCACCTCGTCTTTGTGCCCATCTACAGGCCTCGTCTCCTCGAAGGATAGCTTGCACAAACAGCTCTTACAGTGCGCTGCCAAATACCTTCTGACCGTGGCTCTCAGCGAATAGTTGTGCTCCCTGCTCTAATCATTTGTGCACCTCCCGTCTGTACGATATCCACTTTACCACGCGAGAGGGGTACCTTGTATACCACTCCGGAAACACAGCTCACAAACGGCTTTGCATGTTTTTTTTTGTGCACTTACTCTTTGACTGCCCTTCTGCCTTGGCCCTTACCCTCGAACATATCTAGCTCAACTTCTGAGGGCCGGAAAGCACCACAGGGGCGTTGCACCAACTTCCGGCTTTATTTAAACCGTGGGAGACCTTGTGCAGGTATGGGATGACGATAGACCTTCGCCTGTGTACCCGCGTCTTATAGGGAAAGGTTTCTTTTACCTTCTTAACAAGGGTGCCGCCAACACCACACAGCAAAGCACAAGGAACCCAGCGTCTCTCAGGCTATCGCACTGCGCCTGAAAGCTCTCATGTACCGTGTGGACGCAGGACCTGCTTAGGGCCGCGTCCAAGCACGAAATCGCAACGCCCCTTTTGGTAACCTTCAAGTGGATTGACGTATAGTCTAAGACGGCGTTTTTCGACAAAGGGCTGTACGCCCAGGAAGAGGCATTGCGAGTGAAGGGAAAGGTGCAAAAACTGCGGGACCCCTCCTTGGGGACCTCAGACGTGAACCTGATGCCCCCTCCACATTCGCCAAAACTTGCCAAACCGTCAACCACCGAGGACACCGGGCCGTCAAAACCCTCGAGAAACAATAAAAAATAATCAACATAACAAACCCCCTTTTTAATCGTGATGTAACCTAGAGATCCCTTGATGTTCCGGTCAACTCTACTAAAGTAAATATCACTCAATACAGGATCAACACACTAGACAATACAAACACCCGACCTTTGTAGATAGCATTCATTTTTTCACCCGAACAACATCCACTCCAGGTGAAGTTGCAACATATGCAGGATCCCCTCAAGGGACCCACCACACGCCTTTCTAAAGGACAGCTCACCATTGTCCTCAACACACATCCTCACAGCGAAGAGCAAACGGTTGGAGGGGAGGGAGTAGAACAACTCTTCAACGTCAACACTAAGCGGTCTACACTTCCTCAGCTCGTCCAGCTCCAGCAAGTTCACAGCCTCCCCCTAGTCGGCAATCCTAAAAGGATCCCCCAAACTCAAAGAAGACAAACGCCCCTGAAGGTAAGCCGACATCCGGCTCTGCCGCGTTCCTCCCTCAGAAACAATAGCTCTAAACGGACAGGCATCTTTGCAGGCTTTATCGCCGAAAAACACTTCTAACGGCATACGCTCCGCTTTCCCAATTTTCCCGTCCAACTGGGTTAGTTACAATTGCTCACACAGCTCTTTCACCCTGTCTCTAGTCTTTTTAACATTCATTTCCACCGGCCTGAAGTTCTTTCCAATAGCTGCGCTAGCCTTATCGTTATACGCGCTCTCAGGTAGAACCACAAAAGACACCTCTTTGTCCGAAAAAACAACGCACAGTTGATTGCTCATCATGAAGTCACCGATGGGTTTTATAGAGAACACCTTTCTTCTCCGTGAGCAATAGATGGTATCCGCAAACTCTGAAATGCACCTCGGATGATCGACTTCCTCAATCCTGTACGCCAACTCTTCTCGCCATAGTCACTAACTCCGGAGGGCTGACGTCAGGTTAAAGAAAGAATTTCCGGCACCTCGCCAAGGACTTGCATATCTCCGGTGGAACCTCAACATCACCCAGAGTGGTGATGCGCTGAGTTCATGGAGTCACGTTGTCCTTCCTGCGCGGCAACGCCATCCTCGCCCGGTGTCACAGGAACTCCGTGACGTCTGCCGATATCTTGTTCATTTCGAAGCTGAATCTTTGCTGGCGTTCCGCAGCTCTTCTCCTCACAAGACACGGTACCCTCAGTCAATGTCTGAGAAATCTTTCTTGGCGGTAGTAATGCGACCGTAGGACACGGCACATCATTCTCGTATGGCCCCTCGACGGTGCAAGAAGGCCACAAACCCCCGAACGTTCCGCCGGGCACGTGCCCTGCCTTATGAGCCAGGAGCCAGCCTTGCGCTATAAACGCATTGGGCAATCAGGTTAACTAACACATACAGATTACTAATGGGAAATTTATTACTGAAAATGTAGGGCCCGATGTAAAAGAAGTAATTTGTACCAAATTTGAAAGCTGGGCTAGTTTGTATAGGCTAAACTTAACAAAACATGAAGTTTTGGAAATTTTTGCCGAATGTGTGTGTGTGTGTGGGGGGGGGGGGGTGGGCATCAGGTTCACATCTGAGGTCCTGAAGGAAAAAACCCGGCAGTTTTTGGACCTTCCCCTTCGTTTTGGCGGCAGTCATACCTGCTGGGCCTGCAGCCCTTAGTCAGAAAGGCCACCGTTGACTATAGGTCAGCCTACTCGAAAGTCATCAAAAGAGGCATTGCGATTTCGTGCTTGGACGCGGCCCTAAACAGGTCCTGCGCCCACACGGTGCATGAGAACTTTCGGGCGCTGTGCGATTGGCTGAGATACGCTGGGTTTCCGCGTGCTTTGCTGTGTGATGTTGCCGCACCCTTGTTAAAAAGGTAAAAATAACCTCTCCCTATAAGAAGCTGGTGGAGAGGCGAAGGACTGTCGTCATCCCATACCTTCACAAGGTCTGTCACAATTTAAAGAAAGTAGGAAGTCGCTACAACGCCCCTGTGGTGTTTTCCGCCCCTCAGAAGTTAAGCCAGATATGTTCCAGAGTAAGGGCCAAGGCAGAAAGGGGAGGCTCAAAGAGCAAGTGCACAAAAAACCACGCAAAGTCGTTTGTGAGCTGTGTTTCCGGAGTGATATACAAGGTCCCCCTTTCCTGTGGTAAAATGTATATTGGACAGACAGGAAGGTGCTTAAATGATAGGCTCAGGGAGCACGCATGTTCGCTGAGAACCACGGTCTTGAAGGAATTTGGCAGGGCACTGTAAGAGATGTTTCTGCAAGCCGTCCTTCGAGGTTACAACGCTTGTAGATGGGCACAAAGACAGGGTGACCAGGGAAGTGATAGACGATTTTAAATAACGGAAAGCTGGGCGCAGTGCATCAGCGAGCCGCCGGTAACGCTATCTGCGCAAGAGCGGTTGTTATTGACTCTGAGATTGAAGTAGAAAAAAAAAAAGAGAAGGGGGGGGTGGCTGGAGCATGCGGCTCGTGGATGACCGGTGCCCTATACGATGAGGCAGAAAGGTTGGCGCATGTACAGATTGCTGCCTTATCTGCCTACCTTCGATGTTTTTTTTAGTTAAACCTTTAGTTGCGAGCCAGCGCCTGTCCCGTCTTGGTTGTACCTTCCTTTCAGTCTTTGTCGTTCTGCGCTGTTTTACCTACGCTATGTTTAGCCTACACCAACTTGCTCAGCTTTCAACTTTTCAACTTTGATTTAGCACCATCTCAGTTCAGTTGAGTGGAATCACAGTTAGGGCTCGCAAGAGCCGTTGGCAGAATGACAGCTGAACCTTCCCGTGTAACAAGAGGATTAGTGGCGCCACAACTTGCAAGGGAGATGGAGCTTGAGCACTGCTCTTTTTGTGAGATCTGTGGAGGGGATTCCGCGAATGCCAAACCTGAAAATATATTTAAAAAAAAAAAAAAAGTGCCTGCACCAGGGATCAAAAAATTTACGGTAATACACACAACTAGTACCAACCAACAAAAATGTAATGAAACGAAATTAAAAATGCCCATTAATAAGAAAGGAAGAAGAGAGCGGGAAATAGGTTTGGGACAAAAAAGAAAAAGAAATCCCACTGTCGCCAGAAACATACGTGGTCACGTCTGTCGCTGTTGGCGCAGCAGAGTGGAGCTTCTGAATCACGACAACGACATTACGAAACACTCGACGTTTATAAGAAACACCCGAGAAACAATTTTTAGGCAATCCTGATGAAGGCACATAGAATCTTTATAGGTTGTCAAAAAACATGACACAACACACGAAGCGTCAAAGTACTATGCATATTAAGTTTACTAACGTAGTCGCCGTAATTTTAGTTTGTCAACAGGACATATTACTATCAATTAAAAGTATAAAATTCCGTGTACGCAAGATAGTCATATATTTTTTCTGTCCACTCCAGCCAAGATGTCCGGAGCCTACACTCCAGCCTTCTACAAAATTGAGAGATATTAACAAAGTATTACAACCAGTAAGCTGTACACCATCAGTATATATATATATATGACAATCAGGTTTTCGGGTTGGCTGTAAACATGTATGTTTTTTTTTCTTTCCAGGGAGGGTGGTTACAACTTATAAAGGACATATTTCAAAATGTATCAGTCAATTTAACTGAAGAAGAAGAAGTGAATGTCCCGGAGCCGCTATTCCTTCGGCATGTTATGACGCTACTGAACACCACGCCTCCGTAAGCGGAAAATCCATAAGAGTTTTTAAAAGTTAAAAACTAAAGGTTGCGTACCACTACATCCTCCTTCGTTTTGCCGGGTTGCTTTTAACTACATAACAAAGTACCTTACGGCGTTTACCGGACATAGCAAGACTCGCTTCGGGATCATTTTTACAAGAACAGTAATATGCATGAATTGATTATATCCGAGAAAAGTAGAAACAAAATTATGACTGCCTACCAAGATTTGTGATTCAATAATAAGCTGATTATTATTTAGGGTTTGTAAAACATCATAGACATGTTGTAACGATAATCTAGGTAACATTTGGCCAGATGTATAATATTGAATGCGATTTACATGCACGAAAAATACTCCGTGCTTATGAGTCGTTTGAAATTAAACGCGCATATAGAATTGTTCTGCAATTTTACCAAAACTATCCTGATAAAACAGATGCTTCCTAAAATGAAATAAAAAACGAGAAAAACTATGTATTTGATTATTTTACTTTATTTACTTTAAACTCCAACCGATCGCTGAAATATTAGTAATTGATTTTATAAGAAACCTAATATCCGAACAATCATAATGGTGGTAGTGGGACCGCAGCATTATACAGAAGTAGTTAATACGTCAAGAAACCTTACTTTTCAGGGCTGCGGTGAACAACTATTTTGGATGGATGCTTCTTTATAAATTAGGTCCAATCGCTTCTCATAATATAAGAAAACTTAACTTCGAGTTTAACAAAGTGTGGAGAGGACTCCAGGGAGAGGAGCCAAGATGGAGACATTGCGTCAACGTATTGAACGACCCGTATGACCCCATACTCGGTTACGGGCTGGGAAGACTGTACATTGATCAGTACTTTAATGAAACAGAGAAAGAAAACGTAAGTGCCAACACCCTGCTAATTTATACTTTAAATCGTTTGGTCACATTTGCTGCGAGCTAAAGCTACACCTTCCTTAAAAGAAAATAAGAAAAACAATAATTTTCTTATCCTAAAATCATCTAAGAAACAGCACATTTTAAAACAACATGTTGCATAATTGCCTCCACTGTCACGAAGGTGCATTGCCTTCAATATATTTTTAATATTTGCTGATGTTGTACTATGACTTTACATACAAACCTGACCTAATCATAAATATTAATCCCTCTGAGTGGCAGAACATTTTTAAGCGGATAAGCCACTAGTCTCCGCATAACGCATGTTTTATGTTCACAATTAAAAATGTGTATCGAATATATAAAAAAAAAATATATCACCGTTGACTCAGGCTTAAAGCATTTGCTACTTCCAGATAGAGACAATTGCGCAAAATGTGAGCGAAGCTCTCAAAAGCGTCCTTCAAAATAATACATGGATGGACGAGGCTACGAAAGCCAACGCAACAAAAAAGGTAATGTTCGCCAAAGAAAGACGCGAATCGATTGCCACCACCTTCTAAGCATTATTCGCTTTTTCTTTACAGCTTGAAAATATGGTTTTCAAGATAGGATACCCTGAAGAGATAAAAGACGAAAATATTTTGAACAAGGTGTATCAAGAAGTGAGTATATTGACAATTTTATTTGTGCCTGTTCAGCGAGCCCTGTGTAGTGGCATTTTGAAGGACAGGAATTACAAAACAAAGCTTTTGTTGGTACATCAGGATGTTACTGAGAAAAGAAAATCGGCAGAGATACTTAAGATTGCTTACACACGCAGTGCATTCTTACAAGCAACGCACCACGTCTTCCTTTCGCACACTGCGCTCCGGCGGTGACATCACGCTCCCCCGCTGCGCAGGCGCGGCGAAACCAGCAGGCTTCACGACGGCTTCCGTGACGAAGCATTGCGTTGCTGTGCTCTTCTTTGTGTTTTAATTCTGAGGCGCGTCCGCTTCAAACTTGTGCGAATCCGCTGGCTTATTTGACGAACCATCTACGGTGCTCTGCTTTCCTTTGTGTTTTAGTGGAATTGGGAATTTAGGTGCCGCTTCGCTCAGCCAATGGGAGTTTTGGAGCCGCTTCGTTTAGCCAATGGAAATTTAAGTGCCGTTTTTCGCTGCTACAGACAACGGCTACAGAAAGCGCCGGCTTCGTTCCATAGGACAGTTAAAGCTTTCGCATTAATACGGTCAGTAAGTCATTTTATATTGTTTCACCGACTTTCATGTGGTTTATGCAGGTTGGGGATGTAAAACTCAACGGCTCCTTCCTTGGTGCTTACCTGAGCTTTAGAAAGAGCAACGCCAAATATAAATTAAAAAAGATGGGTAGTCCCTTGTTTAACCGGATAAAAGAGTATGTATACCCAATAGTTTTTCCCCTTAAACTAAAAATAAATGTTGAGATGAATGTCTGGCGCGGAATTAGAGTGCTGAGGAGGGGCGATATTAAAAAAGGATAGTAGAATTTGAACGCAGATTATAGTGGTACATTCAGTAATCGTATTAATATTTAAAATATATGATACCTGGTTTTGTCTTACTATTTTTATTTAATTTTATGGGAACTATTTTTAACGCTCTTTTTCTCAAAGAGCCTGCTAGGGGAAAATGCTGTGAAACAAAATAACATAAGCAAGGTTTTGATTCGTCACCTAAACAGCTTTTAAAGTATATCTCAATTTAAGTTTATTTTATATATACTAGCTATCGGATATTAATTGCCTTAGAGATCTCTTATAATAAAGCTAAAGAAATAACATTTCCGTTCATTTATATTAATAACTTCTAAAGAAACAATTACAACACCTCGGAGAATTTCCAATGCGTCCCCTCAGTCTGACCTAATCTGCAAACGTAGAAGCCACAAATCGTCGAACTATATTTAATACTCAAGTGCACTCTTTTGCTGAGAATATCAAGCGCCGTTTAGGTGTTCCACTGCTCCACAAACTGTACAGAAACTTTGTTAGCCTTTAACAGCCTCCACCTCTGATAACTGACACAAATGTATCTCATCAGCAATTCGAATACCCTCTAACTTAAATGAAAATGTTTGATGCTACAAAACCTGTAATCTCCAAGTTGTAAAGAGGTGTTATCCAGTATAGCCGCTGCAGGCGTGCCCTCACCGTTTCAAATTGCGGAACAACTGAATTTAATTGATTAGGCAAGAAATTTCAGGCAAAAAATCTATTTAATTTAATTCATGATTTAAATCACAACTTATTTCGCGACTTGAATCAGATTAAGTTTTACTATGATACAAATCAAACAGTTCTCGCGTGAATAATCCTGCAGATACTTTTTTTGCTTATCGCTTGTCTATAATTTGATGTTACCTATGGGCGTTTGTTTCGTAGGCATTTAAATCAACGAATGCAAAAAGTGTTATGTGAGACTGAACACGTGTTAAACGCAGTGCTCTTAAGAGGAAAATGGTGCGCTGATGTTTCTTTCCGTGTTCCACTTCGCTCGTCAATTACTTGACATCCTTATGCGAGCAAATACAAATGAGAAATAAAGGGAAAATATTTCTAACTAGCTATAAAATCGAGCTCTTTTGTTTTGTACGGCTAGGTCGAAAAAGTTTCTGATTAAACTGTACTTTAGGTTACTTGAACTCTTTCTTCCGTATTGTTCTTAGATATCGGACCGATTGATCAATCAATCTGTCGCGTTTAAAATATATCTAGTGATAAAGAATCACAAATTTTTAGGTATGGTGAATTAAGTCAATTTAATATAATCAGAACATATTAATTTGATTTAGATAACTATACCTAGAAATCAGTGGTTCTTTCTGATTCAATACGATTTATCTCGTCCTATAAAAAAATGCAATATTTCGTTTTTCGAACTGGTGATAAGGCATAAGGAGCGTGCTGGAGGCTGGACGTTTGAAAGACTCGCCCTGCCGTTCTCATTCTGTCAGTGACTATAGGCGATTAACACAATAATTTTTCGTAAATATTTTGAACTCTGAGAATGTGACTCGAATTAAGAGGTTGGCTGGAACTAGGGAGGGGTTATCTTACGATGGTTATGTGCCTATGCAATGGGAAAACACATGGTTAATTGTACGGACCCGGTCATGCGCGAAAAGTGCCCTCGATAGGTAGATTTCGCGAAGAGAAGTACATATATTTTTAGGGCTCGTTTATTTGCGAGTTTCCCTTGTGATAAGGGTCATACATGATTTTCGAACTATTATCAGTTTATGTATTTTTACTCTGCGAGCTCCTTGTCCGAGTAAGGAATCAAAATCATAGCAGAAAATAGTTCTTCAGAGTGAACTTTTTATCGTCAATAGCACTTTCGGTCCAGAATTAAATACTTGCTCTATAATTGTTCTACGGCAGATTTCACAAAGGTTTTGTTTTGGTTGCTTTATATTTTTGACAAGTTAGTGACGTACAGAGCCGATTCTGGAGTTACCATTTGGTTTAGTACTCTTTCAGACATCTAACAAATATAATTATGGCATATGATTTGAAATAAGAATAAGGTTTTTCTGATGTTTTGTACTACGTTTCTGCTGCTGACAATAAAACAATAAGGCGGAAATCAGTACATGATAAAGTCATGATCATGTATATTAAAATTTTTCTAAAGGTCAATTTTCTCGCATGGTTCGTTTCTTGAAAATAGTGTATCCCGATCTTCGCATGTTCCGACATCGTCTGACATTCTTTTGCTCTTTTTGGATATGTCTACGAAGCTTTAGAGTGGAGGCTGTAGTGCAACTGTAAAGCTTAGATAGTCAAAGCCTAATACAACAAAGAACACCGGAGGCATATTGAACATGCTGAATTCACAACTTTCAGCGATTGTGATACCGCGATGTAAGTATTCCGCTCCCTAGCCCGTGGATGATCGGCTTCCGAATAATTGCGCTTTTTGACACTTTTGTGACGTAAAAGTATAGCGCGTATTGCACAGAATTAGAATTGCTTACGTGTTGCAGACCCGGCCTCGTACTTAAATTTTACGACCAAATACAGATGACAGCCATTTTGACAAAAACTAGCGCTCACCCTCTAGTTCTTAAATGTTGCCAATATTTAGCAGAGAACAAGAGAACATGACCGAAGATATCACAAAAATGTTATTAGTGGTTTCTCGTCCTCGAACTATTTTTAGAGCGCACCTCTTAGGCGTCCCTTTCCGGCTTGAGAGGTAGCGTCGGCGTCGGCGTAACCGCGCGCTCCATTATGGGACGTTTCCCATAATGACGTCACACGTGAGGCCACTTATCTGTCACGAGGGTTACCCTTATGAGGGTTGCCAGGGTTACCCTTACGAGGGCAACAAGGATTACCCTCACGAGGGTTACGAGGGTTCCCCTCACGAGGGTCACGGGGGTTACCCTCATGAGGGTCACGAGGGTAACGTAAGGTGTGACGTCACTATACAAAAACACACGTGACGGCAACATTTCTTCGCTTAATATAGTGGGGAAGAAAGAGGGGCACCACCCTCTCTGCCGTACCCTCCCCTCCTCCTCCTGAATAGCTGCGCTCTAATTTCGCGTTACAAAAATTTGTAAATGCCTTTCATTCCTTCAGACTTTAACATACCGTGTGGTGACCAGTGTGTTTACCAGACGATTCGCAATACGCGAGATGTTTATTAACAATTTTTTTTTTCAATTCTATAGGGCTGTAGCTTTCAAGTTTGGGCAGCGCCTCTGGCAAGCAAAATCGAATATTACCCGCGGCGAGTGTTGGTTGCCCGGCATTGCACCGTTTCACATTGTTCGCAGACGCTAAGCTGTCGTAATTTTATTAATGAATAATAATGTTGGGAAAAGAAGGTAACAAGAACAAAAAGACGCTAAAAGAAACTTTATGGCAATTTGCTGCCAATTGTGTTGTTTATGTGAAAAGTTCTAGCACCACAAACGTTCAGCGATACTCTGAGTTTCCAGACGCCAGACGCCTATATTTACGGCGATCATCATCAGATGATTTACCGTGTACCATATGTACACCTTGAAGTTGTTCCTAGAAGGAAGCTATACTAACGCTCATCGCGGTGACAAACCTAGCGATCTTCCGAAGCCTTCTGTACTCTCGAGCTCCACACTCGCACGGCGCACAGGTGATCAAGCTCCTCCTCGCCTACCTTACTCCTCCTGGTCACATGACCTCCCCGTAAACCAATCAGCTTTAAACACCTTACTCATCCTCTCCCACCCGTCAGCCTATCAGTGTGGAGCCTCGCAACCCTGCTTTCATCCAGGCTTCACTTTTAATCTGGGCTTCCCGAAATGCCGAACCAAAAAAGGTTTCACGTTAAAAACACACCTATCTTTTTGATAGGACAGCGCTAGCTACACTTTTTGTTTATTTAATTCTTTTTTTATTTAGTTCAGAAGCTTTCTTATCGCGCGTGAAGAGATGCTGACTCACGCTTGTAAACGACCGTGGCTAGTCCATGATCGAACGCTGCAGTGGCTTGTTATGTTGGATGCAAGCATTACATGGGCGCCTCTTTTGGTCGCGCTCGCACCCGCTCGCTGAGGGAAACAAGCCTCTAGACATCACTTTTGACTAGATTTTGAAGTGCTTAATAATTTGAAAAAAGTGACATATCATCTAACTTTCTGAAGGTGTCTTTCCATAGGTGCTTTGCAATCCCAAGGAGCAGGACTAGCTATTACGACTTTTTCCACTGTAGTGTGTTATTTTTCCTGCTGTAAAGTCAAGGAGGAGACGATTAGGATTCGGCCGTCAGGATCTGCATGGTGGTTGCCAAATATAAATTGCACTGTTTTTTTTTTTTACATTGAGTGAAATACACCGAACACCCTAAGTCACTTATTGCACTCAATGTATTTTATAAAAAAAATATGGCATTTTGAACAATTGTTTTCGAAATTCGCGGGCTTGTATCCTATCAGATATTTACATCACCTGCGTGAAGCTTTCATGATATATTTTCTTTCCACATGGCTATGAGATTAAATAAATACAAACGCTTTATCAATTGGTTCTTAAGATATTGCCACGCAAACTCGTGATAAACACGGAAAACCCAACATTTATGGCTATACATGCAAAAAAAGATCGCATCTTCACTTTGTCCAAGGTTTGCACCACTTTTACTGGCACTGCTATATATGGATCTCCACTCTTCTGAAAAACAGGTTGCATTATGTCTTTAGGGAAAAAGATACAGGCCCTTTAAGGAGCCCTTTATCAAATTACCAAATTCTATTTATGTTTGTTTTTTTCAATTACACCATAAAGACATCATTAAATTAAGAGTGACAAAAAGAGACGTACAATGAGTTAAAAATACCTCACACAACGATCACTTAAAGGAATAATAATGATTTTCCGTCGTCCGGTA